ATGATATAAAAGGTATGATTATGAACAATGAGCCTATCCTTAATGTCATTGAAAAATACTTTGGATGGAGTGATGGCAATGAGATATGTGAAAACAACATCGCTTATACTAATAAAACTTGTAGAGAGGTGAGTAGCAGAATGAGAAAGATGAAAGGTATAGAAGATGAATATGTGATAGGTGAGGAGGTAATATGTAGAAAGTATGTTAAGAATAAAGGGATGAAATTTAATGTGAATTTTAAATTCAGGGTTTCACATATTGTTGGCAATATTGTTGTTTTACAAAATGTGGCAACTAATGAGAAGCAAAATATAGAACTGAAAGTATTGAGAAAACATTTTATATATGCTTACTGCTACACGACACATTCAAAACAAGGCTGTAGTGTAGCTACCTCGCAACCAAAACACGAGAAATGATTGTTGGTCAGGTGAAGGACCCAAACTTGGCTAATTTTTGGTTGGGCTTCTATCAGAATTTACCCGGATATGACATGATATGATGTTGGTTGCGATCTTCTCCAGTATGGATTCGGACCAGGTAAAGAGTGCTGGGTAAATCGCGGTAAAGGGTGGGTGAAGATGTCAATTCGGATCTTAGAATGGATAACATGTTGGACTATGATGCCCAGCATTACCTAGTCAAGAAATTAAGCTCTTCCCCAGCTTCAAGCTCTTCCCCAGCTTCAAGCTCTAATGTTTTGCGTGGGACATGTAGGATCTCAAAGTCATGTTATTCTGAGCTAAATCCTCACTTGGAGGATCTTGGAGGATTTCAGAATTTATAGTCACTGTATGAACGTTCTCATCCCAACGACATAACGTATACATACGTATACAACAATGTACTCTACAATCCTCCAAACTTACAACATCTTACAACTGGCTTATATTCTCATCGGTTTACAACTGGCAAAATCCCTCTGCCGATACCGAGACGCAGCTGTCCACCAGGAAGCGAGCGCGGACATGGTGAAATCCACGCAAGATCTCTTCTATTCCCTGCTAGGCGGGGATTCTGCCATGGTCCAACTTCATCCACGGTGGACAGCCCCAAAAATTTGTGGGGACTTGGTGAATTTGTGAATCTAGTCATAGCCTATAGCCAAATGAAGAGTCACTGCATGTCACTGCTTAAGTCTATATAAGCGACTGCAAGCCAAATGCAAATGGCTGTTCATCCCCTACGCTGGGTCAGCATTGGATGGGTACTGTAACGACTTTTTTCCCTACTCTTTTGCCACAATTGAGGATATGTATATATATATATTTAAATAATTATATGTATACATTATAATATAATATTACGTTATATATACACGTATTAACAATGTTATGTGTATATGTATATGTATATATATATATATGTACACTATCCAGCCAAAGGGCCATGTCATGTCTTTGACAACATTTCGGCACTCTTTTTCGGCTGGGATCATCCGTTGCTGCAATTGCTCCATAGGCAACATTGTGAATAATGTCAGCTCTCTTATCTTCGGAGCCCGGGTCCAAAGACCGTGGACCCTGCGGTGAAACGGAGGTAGCAACAGCCCTGGGTTTATACGGGGGATAGTTGGATCTCTGTGAAAGAGGTTAGAGGTCCATTATTCTAGAGGCAACATTCCCATATTCAGAAAATCTTCGCATACCATGTTTTCATCGTACTCCAGACCTGGGTTTTGGTATGTTACTTTGATAGGCATTTCAGCTCAATCTGGAGGGAACAGTTGGCCCACGGCGAATCCACTGAATGCCCCTCCACAGCTTTCTATCCCCTATGTCGTTCCAAAGCAGCTGTGGACGTTGAATGAATTGCAGGCTGCTTTGATAAGGAAGTTTCCTCATTTGTCTACCGAAGAAGGACAGGGTTGTCAAAGGTAACGTTTTTAAAGGTTGGCTGAGTAAAAATTAGCAAGTTTCTTCCCCGGGACCTCACCCAAGGTGAACTCGGAAAAATAGAACCCACTGGTGTGCCCCTGGAAGTTTGGGCTGGCTTTGGGATTGGAATTTTGGTTCTGGCCCCGAAATTTCCCTATGTCGTCTCTATACCAGCCACGCATACTCGGAATTCTTCGCATTCCACAAATTCTTCGCACTCCAGCGAGGGCATCGCACTCCACAGCTAGGGACGTACACATACTGTAAAATCCACGCACTCTGCAAGATCTTCGCACTCCATAAAATCTTCGTACTCGGTGATTTTATCTTTTTTTCTGTTTTTTTCTTTTTTTCGTTTTTTTTTGGCTAAAATCGCCTGGAATCACGTTTTCTGGAATATGGGCAAGGTAGCGGTTTCGCGTGAGACGTCTGTAGTTTCACATACTATCGCATTCCAGGCCGTTTTGGCCAAAAATGACCAAAAATTAAAAAAAAAGAAAAAGAAAAAAAAACTCAGCAGGGTGAAATGTGATAATTTTCTGGTATATGATGGAAAAAACTGGTGTTGGATCCATGGGGAAGGTCGAAGGGGGCCACGCATACTGTTTTATTTTCGCATTCCAGAAAATTAGCGCACTCCAGGGGTGGCATCGTACTCTATCGGTGGAATTATTTTGCGCGGAAGAAAACAGGATCGTCGATGATTTGTGTTCCCAGATCCTGTTGTGCAGAGCTCTTTGCGGGGCCGCAAAGATGTCAAGAAAGATGGGGATGGCGCTGCTGATGAAAGGCCAGACAAGCGTGCCAGAACATAAGCTTAAAGCTTATGAATTTGGTTTTGAGATCCTGAAAAGTGTAGATGACAAATTTCCATAAGAACATTATTAATCCATTTTTGGAAAGCTCAACATTATTAACTATGACATTTCCAGAACTTGTTGAAAGTAAGGATCTTCTTTGGGGAAGAACATGTGCAGTCGACAACGTACGTGCCAGAAGAAAAGGAGTACTTGGCAAACTGTATGAAAAATACAAATTTCACCTGAAAGGGGTCTTCGCAATTCCCTGAAATTTCCCAGCTATTTTGGCATGGAATATGTTCGGCCGCTCGGCCCTGGAATATGGGCAAGAAATTGCTAGAATTATATAACCATTTACACAGAAATTTCATGACATTGCTATTAAATTTCACGAGCTCCTGGGATTTTGTGATTTTTAGGGAATATTGGATATCAAGGTCAAGATGCAATATTTGGTGCAGTGTACGCGCACAAGGGTGGCACCAAAAAACTTAAGCGTCATGGTTTGCACGGGTTTGCACTGGATCAGCCTTCCATACATGGAAGTGGTCCAATTAATCATTAATCGTTCAGAAAAAATGAAACGGTCGGAAACGGTCGGAAACAGTCGGAAACGGTCGGAAACGGTCGGAAACATGATCAGGCCAAAACTTGTTCAACCCGCATTTTTTTAAAAATAAGCATTTCCGCGCAACGCCGTTTTTTTTGAAGGTCCAAACGTGTCCAAGGGGAAACGGTTGGAAACAGTCGGAGATTGCACCTTCGCTCGGCAAAAAAACATGTTTTTACACAATTTTCAAAAATGTTTCATGAACATATGCTACAAAACAACTACTTTTTTGCCGAGCGAAGGTGCGATCTCCGACTGTTTCCAACCGTTTCCCCTTGGACACCTTTGGACCTTCAAAAAAAAAGGCGTTGCGCGGAAATGCTTATTTTTAAAAAAAAATGCGGGTTGAACAAGTTTTGGGCTGATCATGTTTCCGACCATTTCCGACCGTTTCCGACTGTTTCCGACCGTTTCCGGCCGTTTCATTTTTTCTGAACGATTAATGATTAATTGGACCACTTCCATGTATGGAAGGCTGATCCAGTGCAAACCCGTGCAAACCATGACGCTTAAGTTTTTTGGTGCCACCCTTGTGCGCGTACACTGCACCAAATATTGCATCTTGACCTTGATATCCAATTCCCTAAAAATCACAAAATCCCAGGAGCTCGTGAAATTTAATAGACATTGCTGGGGTGATCCAGAGATGGTTTTCCGATGTCTTCCGCACTTCCAATGTCAGTAGCTGGGTGAGGTTCTTCTCACCATGCTGTACACCCTCTTTTGGCTATGCAGCCCAGTTCCAATGGACGCACCGCGCTTGCGGGGCTGGTTTTTGAATGATGGCAACCCCTGCGAAAACCACGGGTTGACAGAGCTATTGGATGCATAAAAAGCTGCTATACGATGCTATAATTTTGTCTGTGTTTAGGATTGTTTATATAGGTAAATCCTCCAGAGTAGGAGTCTTCATGCATGCCGCATATGTATCAGTTTGAAAGTGATCACACGTGGCAGTGGTTGGATTCACAACGAACATCCGACTCCATTTTTCCCCATGCCTGAGCAGTTCCTCAAACATGTTCAGATTGCTCTTCTGCTTGGAAGTGCATCCCACTCGTGGTTCATATATAACATGTATAATATATATATATGGTATATATAATATAACATGCACTATACATTATATATATATTATATTATATATTATTTATTATATATTATATGTTATATATTATGTATTATAATATATATATATATATAATACTATATATATATATATATATTTATTATATTATTATAATATAATATACTATGTATATATATATATATGTTATTATTTTATATTATTTATTATATATTATATATTATATTATATATACCATATATGCATTTTTAGTAGATATAATATATATCATTATGTAGATATAGATGTTTACAACCCATGTATACATATATGCATTATATATATGTATAGGTGTATCACATCCATTTCTCAAGAAAAATGTTCTTTGAATGGCTTGTCTCAAATGGGTGACCCAAGACAAAGGTGACACCTGTGGAGACCCGGCAACAAAGATTGGATGGAAAAATGGAAAGGTAGTATACATGTATAACATTGTATAAGTGTGATATACTGTGATGTTCCATACTGGCTTATAACATGATTTGCAGGCGTTTTTGAGTCTTCGAAACACCCACCCAGCCGCGCGAGCCGCGTTTGATCATCCACGGCTGATCATCGGCTCGCAGGACTCTTCGGTTGATGTCATGTTCCGGAAGTACATCATGTGGGACATCCCAGTGAGATGGCGCCAACGTGCAATCTTGGGCGCAAAAGGGTATCATCCTATTGGCAAAAAACATGTTATATATTACGCAGAGTATTTGTGTCTAGTATGTGTGTATTTGTTGTACTATATATATAATTATATATATATATGGTCAATGACACGTGATGATATGATTATGATATTATACAGTAGATATTTGGTTTACATCACAGTGTAGACTATCTTCAGAGGGTTGTTGGGGTCAGCATTTTTTGCCTTTTCACCTGTGTGACTGTAATAACCAGATCCTTCAGCAGGAACGGTGGTTGGGCATGCAGCTAAGGATTCTTGCTCAGAGCTTGGGGGTTGCTCTTAATTACCTGCAGATACACAGACATCCTGATAGTGATACTCGGGCATACTCATGCATGGGTCGCAAGTGAAGTTCGACAACTGGTTCACCAGCTGTCTTGAGTACGAACCCGGTTTGTGCTAATCTGGGCTAATATGGGATCAACAATGATAAACCATCCCCTTAGGTCCCAGCGGTGGGGTATCCCAAGCAAACCACAGATTTTCATGTGGATTCCAGCCATCCCAATCTGGGCTCGTTGTCTCTGAGGTTCAAAACCTTAGCCTGTTTTGGCTATGGAATCTCTGCTGGTTTGCTTCTCTACTTCCTCTCCATCGATTTAGCGTCCCTGGGGACAGACCAAACCACAGAACATGTCTTCAAATGGTTTCCCTACGTTGAGTAGGGGAAATCACACTGCCATTGGTGAGCAAAAACCCATGTTTTGTATTGTTTTGTATTGTTTTGTTATCAGAAGCCATACAGTGAGGACAGGTGTAAAACAAGTTTTGATCATTGAAAAGGAGTGCCAGCCTCGGTACCAGGCTTTCGAATGCCTTGGATCCATTCGCATATCTTCGGATTCTTTCATTATCTATTATATATTAATATAAATTAATAACTTATTTTCTTTCCGATGTCAGAAGTCATCCAGTGACGTTGCTCAGATCGGTCTTTGCTCTCACGACCTTTGCTCTGAACTTCGTACCGGAGGCCCACCCGAAGATGTCCAAATCGACGTTTGGATACGTTTGGTGCTATGCACATTTGACATGCAGGAATTGGGAGGGTATTCATTTCCACCGCCGAGGAACCAGATTCATTTGGGTCGAACTGCATCGCAAATTTAACTGGGAATACAGCTAGGGTCTTATATGCTCAGAATTCTGGACACTGTAGATGACGTCTACTATACTTATAGACATTTATAGACCAGATGTTAGTATAGAATAGTATAGATATACACACATAATCACACATATTATAATTAAGATAATATATATATATATATATTATAATATAATATATATATAGATAGTAGACTCAATCCGAGCATCTATTTTATAGACTCTCTGGTAGCGGGCCGCGAGGTGGGTCCCTTCATTGCCATGGCGTCTTGGCATTTGATGGCTGACATGAATTTATAAACGTTATATATTTGATTGGTGGTCTTGAACATTTTTTATTTTCCATAATATATGGAATAATAATCCCAACTGACTATATAATATTTTTCAGAGGGGTTGAAACCACCAACCAGATATAATGTGGGTAAAACAATAATAAACCATCCCCCAAAACACAATTTTTTTTTATGTGGTATAAACCATCATTCCCATTTTTGGGTGGTTTATGATTGTTTTACCCACATTATTAGTCAGACTATAAACCATCATTTCTGCCGGGACATGAGATGAAAACTCCATGAAAATTATTATGTTGTGGGAATGCAATTGATAATGGTACTTGATAATGTAGCTTATATGTTAGGGTGTATAAAAAGCTACCTGGTGTAGTGGAGATTACCATATATTGCCATATAGCGGATATACCTACCAACCAGTATACTGAAGTCGGATAGGGCTATTTTTTCATGACTCGTGTCTTGTAGGGTTTGAGATCTGAAATTGCGTTGTTTGTTGTTGCGCGAGGGGGCTGACATTTGCTAGAAATCGATGATATTCCATGCAGGACTGTAGTCTTTGATGTTTTTACAGCACGTGTTGTCCACAAAAAATAAGACTATTTATTTTGTTGCAATATTTCAGAGAACATCAATATGTGAAATAAATTTGAAATATCTTAAGTCCAAAATATAACATATTGCCTGCAAATCGTGTCATTTTTGTATGTACCTAACACGGTCCCCAAACTATCTTTAGAACCTGTTTCGATGACATTCTCCGTACTTTGCAGGGTTTCAATTTTTAAAACCGAAACTCCAAATACTAGGTACTGGGGTCGAGTCGTTGCATTGCTGTTTTGTCGTAGCGGACCAGCACCTGCCTTGGAGAACTGCATGTTCAAAAGTTTTTTTTTAAAACAGATTCTGATGTTTTGTTCTTGGATCAGCGTGTGCCTTGCGGTGTTTTTATTTCGAATTCTTTGGTAATGCATGTTAGAAAATTTGAATTGGTGCTAGAGTGCTGCTAGACTGTGCTGCTGAGGTGCTGAGCGAGTGCTGCTAAGCTGTTCCCAGAAACCGTTTTGTTACTGGACTTTTGCTGGGTGTCACAATGGGCAGCGTGTAAACTGCTGCTTGGCTGCTGCCAGACTGCTTCTAGACTGCTGCTACAGAATGCTGCTAGAATCCTGCCAGGCTGTTGGTAAGCTGCTGCTAAACTCTTGTGCTCCTAGGCTGCCGCTCCACTGCTCCGTAGCTGCTAGACTGCTACTAAACCGCCGCTAAAACAAATAGCCCAAAAAACAACACAAACCAACCCAAAATAAACCACAAACCAACCTTTAAGAACCGCTAAACCATGCTATACCTACCCTCAATGAACCCTAAACCAGCCGTCATCCAGCCGTCAATGAACCCTAAACCGCCTAAACCAATCCGGAAACAAACCAAACCAACCCGAAATCAAAATCAACCCAAAACTGTTCAAACAAACCATCAGTGAAACTTTGGGAACGTCCAGCCTGAATGGAATTCTTGACTCGGACAGACACTGATGGATCCCTGGCCACGGTTTTGTTGATTTTATTCCTGCTTGCGTTGATGCATGGTTCACATCTCCTCAACTTCATTGATCCCCTCCCCCTCTGTCATTGGTTTAGTATGGAACTGGTTCATTTTGCCGTCCCCATATGGGGATGGGCCAAAAGCTATTCTTACCATATTTGGGTGAATAAACATCCGAAATTCCCAGCTGTTTTAGGATACCATGAAAGCCAGCTTGGAGGTTTCCAATCCATGGCGGTACCCCAACTAATCCCTATTAGACCATTTTAGTATTGAAACCCATGGTGACTTGGGGATCCCCCAGTGTTTAGAACTGTTTAGAACCTCCCCACCATTCTTTGGTACAGGCCATTGCAGACTCCCTTTGGACCATCGTTAGGTCCTGCCTTGCCCGGTGATCCTCTTCGATAGTCGATTGGAGAGACCAATGCTAGCATCTCGTCGCAATTGCGGCCATTCGTTGCGGGGAGAGCTATCCCGGAAAGAAGAAAACCCATTTGGTTGGTGGTTTGGAACATTTTTTATTTTTCCATATATTGGGAATAATAATCCCAACTGACTTTCATATTTTTCAGAGAGGTTGAAACCACCAACCAGCCATGGAAATCTAATTACTGTATGTGCAATCCATGGAAGACCCTGAAATTAGCTGGGAAATTCGTTGGGAACAAACGAAACCACGGAAACTATTGGCTTCTGCAATCTTCTGCAACTGTTTCCTTGAATCCACCTAGTGACCTAGTGAACTCGAGAATCTCCTGTAATGGGGACATTGACAAATCCGCGAAACGGTTGTTTAATGATGGAACAATAGATGAATTATCATGAAATATCATGAAACAATCATTTTGGGGGATTTGTCTAACATGCCTGGACAAGAAGATGGAGATGGATCTTACCATATCCGCACGGCTTCTGATATACTGCCAATGCTGTGATCAAAACGTGTCCAAGATAGCAAACGCATCCGGTAATCAAACATGGCAATAGACAATTCCCTAATCCAATTTCCCTTCAAGCCCTCCATTTTTCGTTCGGGGATTTGCCCAGCTTTTCGATCATCCACTGAGACCCTGCTGACTGCGATCATCGGACAGTTGGCCTTGAAGTTTTCCTTCAGCAACGTCATCGAGGCCGTTTTGATTCATTGGACTGCTGATTATGCTGATTGCTGCGCTTGGCAAATGGAGGTGACACAGTAGGCAGCACGGACGCCACGGTTTGACAAAAACTACAGATAAATGGATTATATCATATCATATCATATCTACATGGATATATATATATATATTGATATCACATAATATGGAACCTATTGGATTTATATTTAATGAATATTGTTAAGGATCATATCTACCCTTGCACGGACTTTTTTTCCTCTCGGACGTGGCATGTCCACGGATTTTTTCAAGTTTGGGAGAAACACATTTATGGACAGAGATGCTTCGAACATGTTCAAAAGTTGCTTTACGCTTCAAATGAATTGGAATACATCGTACAATGTAGAAATTTGGGTACCAACAGGGATCTGCCACTTAATTTCAGCCTTTTTGGTGCATCTGTAATTGCCACGTTCCACCTGACCACCAGGTGAAGTTGATTGAGAGTGATAAGAAGCTTCGGATGCATCCTGTGATGATCTTGCTGCCGATCGGCGAAGTGGAAGTCAAAGTCGAAGTTGCACAGTTTTCCACATTGTTTGGGGATCATGTTCCGCAGGGTTCAACCCCCAAAGGGTCATGGTGATTGGGACAACTCTTTTGGGATATTAACTATTGTTGAAATCGGGGATATTTTATGATATTGTTCCAGACTGTCGGAAGGTAACCCCGCAAAATCATGGTGATTGTTGATAAGGGGTTCATTATTTTGGTATATTTTATTTTGTGATGGGATACTGCACACCTTGCATCGTCTTGTTCACATTGCAGTATGTGTGCATGGCCACTCTATACTACTGTATATTATACAATAGTATATATCTATACTATATACATACAGAGAAGCTATGTACCATTGTATTCTGATATCTTCTAAATAACTAGTTGGTGGTTTCAAACATGTTTTATGTTCCATTTCATATATGGGATGTCATCCTTCCCATTGACGCACTCATATTTTTCAGAGGGGTAGGTCAACCACCAACCAGTGTTGTATCAAATTCAACATCATTAACCATTTAATAACCATATACTAACCATTATGAACAGTATATTAACCACATACCAAGAACATGTGGTATTTTCCCAACCGATCCACTTGAGGTCCGTGGGCATCTTCGGATATTTGTGGGGCCCCACTGGGATGCTGTCCGGCTGTCCAAGTGGAGCGGTGCCAGTGGATGGTGGATGAGTGGTAAATGGGTGGTAGATGGTTGGTAAATGGTTGGTAGATGGTTCAATCGCTTCAATTGTTCAGCTTTCTAGGGAATCACTGACTCTGAACTTTTTGGAATGGGGCATCCTTAAGGTTGGCTTATGATACCCAGTTGGGGACATCCAACTGTAGCAACTGTCGAGGGCAAGGCAAAGCCATAGCCTGCCACAAGTGGCGTCTCAAATACCAGTCATGTGGAGGACATGAGAAAACGAAGACATGATGTCAATGATGTCTGGGTAAATTATGGTGACCTGACTGTGACACTGGAATCATGCTTAGGAAGGGGAATTATCCCGATATATCCTTATTTCAGGTTAGTGAATTATTTAGATTTGCCCAGAATGATATTCCAAACATCCGAGGATATAATGATGTCACAATATTTTCTGATCCTTCTGATGGTTTCGTTGACCAATATCCCAATGTTGGTGAATACTGGTGCTTGTGGTTTCTATCCTTATGACGGCTCAACCCGAAACAGTGTTTGTTTCATATTCAGGTTAATCTGTTGATATTCTCATATTCCCATATTTTTCCATTGTTCCACATTCCCACCAAGAAAAAGGCATATGAATTGATATGGAGTATGTTCATCTATGTTTTTCTGGCCAAGAAAATGTACGCCAAAAACACACAGTTAGCACTTAAGCTCCTGGGTACCAACTGTCTCTTTGTTTTGGCCCATCATAAACAGGGGTTGCTCCAACGAATTGTAGTAGTACCCCTTCAGAAAAAAAATCTGGAAAAGCCGCAATGGTTTATAGTGGTTAATATTGTGGCTATAATAACCACAACAATATTGTGGTTAACCACTATAAACCATCATTTTTTCCCCGGAGTTTTCCCGGACTCTCGGTTTCCACAGTATTTTCCCGACCAGGCTTAGTGTGCCCTTGATGGCTTTGATGAAGATCGCGCTTTTCTCTGAGCTGGTGTGTGGTGCCCCAGGGGCAAACATGACAGATTGATGGTTGATGTATGTTGATGTTAATGATAAATAATGATAATATATCCGATTGATGATGTATTTCTATGTATTTCTTACTATTTTATATGATACAACTAAAGCATATCAACTATATAAAGCACATAGAATATAATTTACAGCGTATATCAAGTATGTGAACCCTATAGAAAATACAGAGGATTTAAGATAGGTACATATTTGTTGTATATTGACGATATATTGTGTATATATATATATACTTTTTTAAAGACTGTAAATTATATAGTTTTGATATCATACAGTACACACATTATCAGTCGTATATTGTACAATTATATACACATGATATTTTATCGATCATAATATTATATAATATGTATTCTGGAGGAATATTATACATGGTTATTACATGAATTATATATATGAATGTCTAGTTGATGTTTATGATAATATGGTTGATGGGTGTGATTGTATATTAATATAGGTTATTACTATTACCCAGATGCTCCATGTATGGAATATTTACATACATGTAGCCCAAAAATTGCCCAAATGTAGGTAAATATACCATACATGGAGCATATGGGTTATTGTTTTACTATTTATTTTATTGTCTCCATTCCGAAAATGTTTGTTGCAGTGATCATTGGCACCACGATCTGATCGGTCGGTGACGGTCACTCACGGTGAGTCGGGGTCACGGCTGCCACGGTCGGTTGATGGATGGACCAGATGGCTTCAACAGATGGGCACCATTAATCACCATTAATCACCATTAATCACCATTAATCACCATGATTTGCCATTATCAACCATTATTATTTAACTATTATTAACCATGATCATCCACTATTAACATCTATGAACCATGATTAACAATTATTAACCCCATCAGTGGTGGTACTCTAAGGGGCAAAAAACATCCCTCGAGCTGCTGGCCACGATACTTGGATGGCCTAGGCCGTCCAGCTACCGCGATCCCATCTTGGTGATCTTGGAAGGTGATCGTAGTGCCCCTCAGAAGCACGGCCTGAAGGCAGGCACACGGTGAGGCTTGAGAGGCTTGAGAGGCTTGAGAGGCTTGAGAGGCTTCAGACACCAGGAGAGTGTTTTCATGGTGTATCTGGTGATGCTTCATGTGTTCACCAGCTTACATGGATCAACACAAATTGAAAAAAAGAACATCCTGATGGAAGTGTCGGCTGTAGGAGTTTCCCCTTCAAAGCCTTGACAGTTATGAGTAGTATAGTAGTTATGTATACTTCTCAAAGCGGGGACACCCAAAAAGCAGAAATCCTAAGTTCTCAAGCGTCGACATTTTTTCAGGTGCTTTTCCTTATGATTCCAAGATATTTCAAGTCTGAGACCAGAACATGTTTGCCCTCCAGTAGTCAAACGTGACAATGGAAAATCTACAAAGTAAATGAGGGTTTTCCTGGGAACATCGTCTATGAATGGAGAGTTTCCAACCAGACAATGTTTGATTTCTGGATGAGAATTCCATGAAAATCACCATGATCATAATTCACAATGATCAAGCATTATGAACTATTATTAACCATTATTAACCCATCTTTTTTGAGAACAGGGAGCCTTTTTTTCGCCCCACAAAGCGGCACTGTGGAAGGCTTCTTCCAAGCAGGGATCTCAGAAGTTGGGCAAATCAAGCTTCGGTTGGTAGTTTTATGTGGTTGTATATATATATACACACACATATATATATATACATACACACACATATATATATATATATACACATACACACACATATATATATATATATACATATATATATACACACATATACATACATACATACATACATACATACATACATACATACATACATACATACATACATACATACATACATACATACATACATACATACATACATACATACATACATGTGTATATATATATAGATATCATTATATATCTGGGTGAATTATAGCGATCGAAGCCTGCGACCGAAGCCTGGAATCATGGTTAATAAGGGGAATCATCCCGGAATGGCCGCAAGTTTTCAGGTTAGTGAATTATAATATAATTTGCCCAGATATATGGTTTTATGATATATAGAGGTTTCCTAAAAAAATAGGATAGCCCCAACAACTCATCCATTTCAATAGGATGTTCCATTATAAACCATCCAGCTATTGGGGGTACGGTTTTTTCTCTACCGCTGTCACGGTTAGCAGCTTAGCACTAAAGTCAAAGGCGGTTAGAAAAACACAACATTTTGGGGGTCCCACATCTTGGGAACCTCTATGGTTAATCTATGGTTAATCTATGGTTAATAATTGTTAATAATGGTTAATAATTGGAATAACAATATATCTGGTTGGTGGTGACTGGAACATGTTTTTTTTTGACTTTCCGTTTTTTTTGGGAATGTCATCATCCCCCCCCCCACATCTACCAGCTGTTTTTTCCCATGCATTCCTACCAGTAGTACCGCACAAGGCGGTGGCGGAAGTTTCAGAATAGGAAACCTATAGGAGACGTTGGTTGTTGTGAATCACGGATGGCAGAGCGAATCCACTGATTGACCGAAAAGTGGTTGGAGTTGTGTTTGCTGGAGTGGTTGCAATGGTTGCAGTGGTCACCTCACCCACAACTGCTGGATGTAGTGTGATGTACTGCAACTGTAGTTGTAGTTGTAGCGTAGTGGAGTTGTAGTTGTGGTGTAATGTAATTAGTGTAGTGTAGTTGCAGTCATATAGTTGTAGCTGTAGTTGTTTTGTAGTTGTAGTTGTAGTTGTAGTAGTTGTAGTTGTAGTAGTTGTAGTTGTAGTAGTTGTTGTTGTTGTAGCTGTAGTTGTTGTGTGGTTGTAGTTGTTGTGTAGTGTAGTTGTAGTAGTAGTTGTTGTAGTTGTAGTTGTTGTTGTAGTAGTTGTTGTTGTTGTTGCTGTTGTTGTTGTAGTTGTTGTAGTTGTAGTTCTAGTTGTAGTTGTTGTGTAGTTGTTGTAGTTGTAGTTGTAGTTGTTGTAGTTGTTGTAGTTCTAGTTGTAGTTGTAGTTGTTGTGTAGTTGTTCTAGTTGTAGTTGTTGTAGTTGTTGTAGTTGTTGTTGTTGTAGTTGTAGTTGCTGTTGTTTTTGTTGTTGTTGTAGTTGTTGTAGTTGTAGTTGTAGTTGTTGTGTAGTTGTTGTAGTTGTAGTTGTAGTTGTTGTAGTTGTAGTTGTTGTGGTTGGTGTTGTTGTTGTTGTTGTTGTTGTTGCTGTTGCTGTTGCTGTTGTCGTCGAAGTTAAGGTAGTTAAGTTAGTGAAGTTAGTTAAGTTAATCAGTGTCTACTTTTTCGACATCTTCACGTCAAAAAAGGCTCAAAACCCGCAGTTTTTTACACTTTTGACTTCGAAATGTGCTTCGCGCCACAACGGCGTGCACTTTTTCGACACTTTTTCGACATCCGAACCTCCAAAAGTGGTCCGAGACCGTCAGTTTTTAACACTTTTGACTTCAAAATGTGCTTCGCGCCACAACGGCGTGCACTTTTTCGACATCTCAACTTCCAAAAGTGCTCCGAGAATGGTGTGTTTTGTACATTTTCACTTCGAAATGTGCTTCGCGCCACAACGGCGTGCACTTTTTCGACATCTCAACTTCCAAAAGCGGTCCGACACTGAGGTGTTTTGTACATTTTGACTTGGAAATGTGCTTCGCGCCACAACGGCGTGCACTTTTTCGACATCTCAATTCAACTTCCAAAAGTGGTCCGACACTGAGGTGTTTTGTACATTTTGACTTGGAAATGTGCTTCGCGCCACAACGGCGTGCAACTTTTCATCTCTCATCTGGCCAGCTGCCTCCGCACCCGCCGCTTTAGCGAGCCTACTTTTCGACCCACCGGAGGAGCCACAAATCATTGGAAAAACACAGTGTTTCGCGACTTTCCTACCTTTTCGCGCATCTGCATCTTCTTTCTTCTGATCTTGTCTCTTCTGGCTCTTCTCACCTCTGCTTTTCAACTGTCCATATTGTCGGAAGTTTCACTTCTAAACTTCCTTCGATCATCTCCATATCTTTATCGACATGCTGGTTATATAGATAAGATAGAGCGTATAGCAAGCTTAGCAAACCCTACATCATTGAGACGTAATTTCCAAAAAAATACCATGATATACCATTACTTCAGGAGGACTTTACTATTTTTTTTTACACCCCAGTAAAACAACATAACTATGGAACATCCACCAATTTCATGTCGATCATTTCTCAGGGAAAGCCTGGAGAAACTCCATATCGTTGGGCACACGAATGCCATCCCCCGAAGTGATCCAATACTCAGTTTCTAGGGCGATGTTTAGTATGGGGAAGGCATTTTTATAGAGTCACTCATCATATCTTGATATATAGATATGTATAGTATACTCGCGTGTAGTCTTCTTATCTTGTAAATTACTCTTCCATACATATAACCATTCAATTCCATAGCTTTGGAAAGCCAAAATCAACCATGAATGAAGATCATTTTGCAGGAAAAACATGGATTTTCATATCTTTCATATCTACGTGGAAAAAACTGTTTTTTTCAACACATGAAATAACTGCAGACCCCTTTTTCAGGCGCTGTCATGGTGCAGTCCCTGGTGGATGAGCTGGAAGTAGCTTGGCGGTTTTCAAGGACATGGGATGATGTGAAGTTGAAACCAGCGAGCAGATGGGAAGCAGATGGGAATTCCCCATGGTAAACATGGATGTTTTATGAAGGTCTCATAAATTCCAATATGTCCACCTCATGGCAGTCGCCAAATTTCATGGGATGGATCCCTCAAAAAACGGATCAGGCTGTGGGACCTGGCAGCCGGTAGAATTCATTGTGACCCGACCTGGCAAGCTGTTATCAGCATGGCTATGAAAACGTACGCGAATGTTTGCTATCACTTGCCATGATGATCCTGGTTTTCCATATCAAAAGAAAAACATTGAAAACCGACAACCCATGATATTAATGATATACTTAGGTAGCCATCATGATCAGACTTGACCTCATCATGAACACCCATGCCCTTCTGATTCACATGTTTCCAAACATCTATATTTTTGCCTGGGTCAAAGACCCTGATAGAGATCTATTTACAAGAACGAAGTTGAGTGCATGGGCTGAGTTCAACCCAGTTCGATGCGATTGACACTTCGGCAGTCAAACATGCAATTGGAGACTTAATAACAAGAATATCATCTATGGACAACGAGTTTCCACTGCCGACTTAGGCTACCAGAGAGGGTAGGCAGGGCTTACTGAAAGAGGGGTCTTGCAGGTCCTATTTGAGCGAGGCGTCGCGGCGTCACCATGCCGGAAACTGAGATCCAATATGGATTACCTCAAGAGCCTTGAAGCATCCATGGGGAAAGAGGATCATCTTCCTCTTAACTCTTGCGTCGCTTCTATTTTGCCAATGATTTTGTTTCATGATTGCGCTTGGCTGTGATGGCCGGGCGGATTGCGGGATGTCAGCCTCCAATCTCGGCTTTGCTTCGGTCACCGAGTACATGATAGTCAATATATTTGCTGAAGGAATACAGACACCCTTGACATGGATCATCACATTTCCTCTGGTGCTGCGAACCACCCACCTAGTAACCCAAGCCATGTCCAGTGGAATTTGGCAGACCCTCGTGGGTGCATCTCTCACAGGATTGGTGCTAGCTGCCTGTTTGTGTGGCATAACTCTTCAATTCGTGCTGTTAATCGTGCTCGTCAACAAATATTCGACAATATGTTTGGGAGCTTATGTGGCCTGCTTTGCTATTGTGCTCTGGGCCCTTTGGTTTTGCTTCTTCAGGACCTCAGCCCGACACTCCTCACGATGTTTTGCTGTTTCTGCTTCAAAACCTTGACGCCGAAGACGCAATGCTAAAATGGAAATGCATTTGCTTCATGTGCTTTGTCAACATGATTTCTGGGAATTTGCATGAGTTTTGTGTGGTCCGGTGACAGTCCCATTCTTACATATCACGCACAACGCAAGGCAATTGCTCGGGGGGTTGAAATATGTGGGTTTTAGATGGAGAAGCTCATTCCAAGGATTTTTTGTGAATTTTGAGTAT